TCAATATTATCAATTTAACCAATTGTTTAATAAAATAAGAGCATGTTGCCGTTTGCATTGCCGTTTGAGATGTTTCAAACAAATATTCCCACTTTCCTATCTGAAAAACAGAGAAGCAACTCTGGAGTATTTTGGAAAAACGTACGTTCATGTTTGGGTAAACGGTTACATAAACACACACTAAATAGTTATTTCCAAGTTCAAATCCATTCTGCTCTTCACAGCATTTCATAGGGAGTGACTGAAAACATTGAATCAAGACAAACAAGGTAAAAACAATTGAACAAATCGATATCAAAACAGAGTTTTCTAGTATAAGAGGGATGTATATTCTCTCCAAAAATGGCAAAACATACTCAGTAGCAATTAGCAAAGAACTTCATAAATGCAGTTATTCCCTCTAGAATTTCAAGCTATATATGTGCCGCTTCTGCAGCTTTTGAATCTCAGTGGGATTTTGACTATTTTCTTTTGTGGCATTGTGATGTCACACTACACTTGGCACAATGTTACAGGAAGCTCAAGGACAACAACCAAGTAAGGACGCGAACTTTAACTCCTTTTAACTGGGAAAAAAAATAGTATTATATATTAATGTTAGTCAATCAACATAGATGGGAAATTTAAAAACAAATACAAAATAATGAAATTTACTAAATCATTTCATTCTACTGAACCATTCTTTTCTCCTCTCTTCTTTGTGGTATTGAACAATGTAAACTTTATTTTTATACTCCCTTCAATTAAAGTTGACAGAAGTTTGTCTAGAAGTAGGTAAAAAGAATTAATTAAACAAATGAAACTAGTTAGAATCTTAATTTGCAAAATACTTTCTCTATTTCAGGCACTCCTTTGCAACCATCTCATTCATTTCTGAAACATTTATATTCATGTATGTTGGCATGGATGCTTTAAACACTGATCAGTGGAAAAATAGCAAAGCCAGGTAAATAAAAACGTCCTTGTTGTGCACTGTATAGCACGAAGTAATACCATTGTTTTAGACAGGATTTGCATCGCCACTGATGCAACCATATTTTAGTTCATAAAGTTCCCTCTGTTTTCGTCAAGGAACACATTATATCCTCATTTTAATATTGTATTATTTTCTTAATGCATTGCCATATTAAGCAGTGCAGGAACTTCAGTTGCTGTGAGTTCAACGTTGTTTGCATTAGTGTTGATTGGAAGAGCAGCTTTTGTGTTTCCTATTGCAAATATTACAAATTGCATAAAGAGAAGAGAGAGTTCCAAAATTGAGTTTCGATCACAGGTGATACTTGTGGGCATCTAATTCCTCAAACGTTGACATTTTCAGTTGACCTTGCTGAATTTCTGCTAAACTATTCAAAATGTCAGTTTATCATATGGTGGGCAGGCCTGATGAGAGGTGCTGTGACTATTGCCCTAAGTTATAACCAGGCAAGTACATGATATAAGGTTTAATATGTTTCATAGTCCTTGCAAATATGGCAAATTTTGGTTTGTCTTCAATTATTGTTTAGTTTCAATCTTTACAGATTTTAAAATATTTAAAAATGATCCCTATGATAGTATGATGATATGACATGCATCTAGACATGTCAACCCATCTAGACATCTCAACTTGAATTCTAAGTTTATTCTTCTCTGAAAAATCCATTCTGGACCACACATTTCGTCCGAGATGCTTTCAAATGCAGTTTTCAAAATCCAAGAGAACATTAGCTCAAGACTCGACATTAATGATCACCTCAACAATACTCGTGGTCTTATTCAGTACTGTGGTGGGTTTCGTATTCTATAGATATAAATAATATTATTTGCATCAATATCAAATAAGTACTAATATGGTTGCTTGCGTTGCAAACAAACAAAAAATGCAAACAGATATTTGGTTCCATAACAAGGCCTCTTATTGAAGCTGTGCTGCTAAGGCATTCAAAACCAGCCACTTCTGATTCCCCTGATAGTCCAGAAGATTTGAGATTCCAATTACTTGAAGTCAGTGGTCCCATTAACCAAAGTAATAATCAACCATTTCATAGGCAAAGTAGCCTAAGATTGCTCACAAGTTATCCAACCACAACTATTCACTACTTTTGGAGGATATTTGATGACAAGTTCATGAGACCTGTATTTGGTGGAAGGGGTTTTGTTTCATCTGTTCCTGGTTCATTATCTAGTGAAGCAGAGGAAATTTCTTGAAACACAATTAAGCTGCTTCTCTTCATCTTTTCTTTCAATAGTTAATGCACAGACGGTGGTTTTGTTACTTTTGTATAACTAAAACCGTAATGCCTATTTAAACCATTTTCTCTGTACAATGCCAAAAGTTGTTACATGGAAAAATCAGATTTGAGGGTGATGGGTGAGATGTATAGGTCATCATGTCAGATTTTTTTTGCTGATGATTTCTTTGAAACAGTAATATGGATTTTTTGTCTATCTTTCGAAGACGTTCATATAATCATATGCAGCATTGAATGATATGGTGAACAAATTGGATGGTAGATTGACAGGCATTGGCTTCAGTCGCTTATATATATACATATATAAGATTTTTTTGCTGATGATTTCTTTGAAATAGTAATATGGATTTTTGTCTATCCTTTGAAGACGTTCATATAATCATATGCTAAAATTTGTTCACCATATCATTCAATGCTGCATATGATTATATGAACGTCTTCAAAGGATAGACAAAAATCCATATTACTATTTCAAAGAAATCATCAGCAAAAAAATCTTATATATGTATATATATAAGCGACTGAAGCCAATGCCTGTCAATCTACCATCCAATTTGTTCACCATATCATTCAATGCTGCATATGATTATATCGCTACTTCCAGGTTCGTTCTTAAAATGCTTCTCATGCATTTTCCTTCGAGTAAAGGCATTTGCATTTTGGGCTTTAGTTGTACATTAAAAAAAAATTACATTTTTTTTTAAATTAGAT